AATAGTAAGCCTATGAAAAAAAAAATCATTTGATATAAATAGTAATACATTGTCTTATTTATAAACATAGTATTATAGTATTATATATATTAAGTATTATGAGATATTGAAAAGAAAAAAAAAATTTGGTATTAGTTTCGTTTCATTAGTTTTTTGTCAACGATTTGTTGTTGTTTTGATTTCTTCTATGAGCAGCTTCCTTGTGTTAACTATTATAAAAATACCATTTATAACTCTTATCGCTTTTATAATTTTCAATTCTGATCTTCATTTTATTATTTTTGTCCTATCTGTGTAGTGTGACACTTAGGTACTCTCGTGCTTGTATTTTCAATTTTCGATTAAAGTAATATACAAGTTTGTTATTTAGTTATATTTTGTACATACAATGGATAAACAGACGAGTGTAGTATGGAACCACTTTTCGGTCATAAATGATGAAACAGCTAAGTGTTCATACTGCACTAATACTTTTTCGTACAAGGGAGATTCAACAGCCAATCTTTTAAAACATTTAAAAAGAAAACATATTGCTCAACTTGAAGCTAGAAAAAGAACACGCGTTGATTTGAACCAAAATTTAGATGAACCAGATGATATATCAACAAAACAACAGCAAGTTCGTCTAATATATATAATATATCAAAGAATTGTCCAACACATACAAGTGTATATTCTTTTATTAATTGACCACTTTCTCTGTCTAAACAAAAACTTATAGACAAACAATTAGGGATAATGGTTGCAAAAGAATATCAACCATTAAGCCTCGTAGAAAATATTGAATTTCAAAAATTAATTAATTTATTGAACCCTAGCTATAAATTACCTTCACTAAAAACTTTATCTAATTTTGCCACAATTATACGCAAAAGCTAAAGAAAAAGTTAAAATTAATTCGCATTATATTGCATTTACAACTGATGGGTGGACATCCCTTAATAATGATAGTTTTTTTGCATTAACTATTCATTATATTGACAAAAATGAATACACTTTAAAGTCTTTTTTACTAGGGTGTTATTATTTTGAAAAATCACATACGGCATTAATTTGTCAATTTTTTTAAATAATTGTTTTAAAGAATAGGAAATAACTGAAAAAGTTAAAATTGCAGTAAGTGACAGCGCCGCTAATATTACAGCTGCCATAAATATGAATAAAAATTGGTGCCATATACCTTGCTTAGCTCATAGTATTAATACTATTGCTCAAAGCGTATTAGATGCAATACAAATTGTCCATAAAAAAGTTAAACGCATAGTTGAACATTTTAAACGTAGTTTTCAGGCTTGCAGTAAATTAAAAAATATGCAAAAACAAATGGGTTATACGGATTTAAAACTCATTCAAGACATAACTACGAGGTGGAATTTTACGTACGATATAGTCAAAGTGAAACTGAAGCCGTAGACATTTGGAAACAGTTTGACTTTCAGGTATAACAACAAAAAAGTTAATTTATTTATTGTGTTATTTAATCAAATATTTTAATTTTTTAAGGTGGTAACTTCATCAAAAAGAACTCCTACTAGTGAAGCGATTATTGAGTTAGATAGGTATTTAAATAAGCCTATAATAGAAAGAAAGTCGGATCATTTGTTATGGTAGAATGAGAGGAAAATGATGTTTCCTAACTTAATTAATCTTGTATTGTTGAAATGTGTTCCTTCAACTTCTGTCCCGTGCGAACGGACATTTTCTAAAGCGGGATACACAATAACTGAAAGGCGTAATAGACTTACAGTTAAAAATTCAAAAATGTTACTGTTTTTAAATGGTAATTTTTGATTAAGAATATAATTTTAGAAGACGTTTTTTATGTAGTTAAATAACATAATTATTATGTTATAAATGATTTAAAATTTTAATAAGAGATCAAAAAATTTTTTTAAATAAATATTGTTTTGACGATATTTTTAATCTTGCAATATATAATTTAAAAAAAAAACAGCATGTTATTAAACATAGTGGTTAATAAAATGTTAGTTTAAACTGTTATGATTGATTATACCTCATATTTGCTAGGCCAAAATAATTCGAATTGGGTATACTTTATTTTGCATTTGTCTAGTCGATTATACAAATATATTTGTATATAAAAACAAATATATACAGGGTGATTTTTTTATCATAACCCACTCAATTATTCACAGAATAAATATATTTAAACATTTTTTTTTTTTGATTATCTTTAGTTACACATTATTCTTGAATTATTAACTATTTAAAACTTTTTATGTTCATCCCTTATGCCTTGTAAGGGTGTCAACTTTGTTTTTTTAAATGGGAACACATATTTTGAATTTAATAAAATGTTTGGATTTTTAATTCAATAGTAAATGGCATTTGAATTTTTAGTATAACTTTATTTGTTTATTAGATATAAACATTTAAAGTTTCAAATTTTTGACTTAATATATATGTATAATACACAAGGTATTACAAATACAAGTAGCTAACTGATTTTTTATGCCATCAATAATCGCAGGTACACAGAATTGTTATTATCAATGGTAGTAAGGCATAATGTTGTGAGTTTATAAATACACTAACTGATAATACAAAAAGTATATCTATTGATAGTCATAATTTATAATAAACAATCCGTGACTGTGATAGCAATATCATAAAAATCCAATTAGCTACCTGTATTTGTAATACCTTGTGTATTATACATATATATTAAGTCAAAAATTTGAAACTTTAAATGTTTATATCTAATAAACAAAT